GAAATACATCCACACTTCTTGACTGGGTTATAACCAATAATTTTTGTGTGTCCGAAATATCTAGGGATTTTCCGCAATTATCAGATCACGATATGGTGGGTTTTCAAATAAGTGGCGTTAAAAAAAATATCTCTGCAGAATATAAGTACAAGCGTAGAATAAACTCAAATAACATAGATGCTTTAAGATTGGATTTAATAGGTAAATATTGGGGAGCTTCATCAAATGACATTAACATTGTCTACAAAAATTTCATCACAAATATAGCAAACAGTATTGATAGAATATGTCCTGTAGAGAAAATAGTTTGTAGACCCTCAGTTCCATGGACCAATAAAAAAATCAAGGATGCTCAGAAAGTACGTGATATTGCCTACAAAAAATTTAAAATTACAAAAGATGGAGGGGACTGGGAGAACTATAAGAGAAGAAGAAACCAACTAACAACTATTATCAGAAATGAAAAGAAACTATATTATGAAAGTAAAATTGACCATTCTAAATATGACAGCAAAAAAATGTGGAAAACGATGAAAGAGTTATTAGGCCAGAGTGATAAAACCCTACAAGTTGAAAAGATATCTTGTGATGGATACAACGGCAGTCCAGTGGAGAATTTTAATAACTATTACAGTGATAGTATAAAAAACATTGCAGAAGGAATAGAAGAGAAAGTACTTCCAGCGTTATCGGACCAAATTCGTGTTAGTGAGGACTATTTAGTTTGCTTCAATAAAATTAGCTTCAATAGGTTAAGCAAAATTGTGCTCTCCTTGAAGAATAAAGGGTCAGGGGACGAATATCTCACTGTGTCACTGTTAAAAGATCTGTTTTGTGTGATAGGGTATCCTCTTTTAAATGTAATAAATTTAGTTTTAGAAAAAGGACAGATACCTGTAGAATTAAAAACAAGTGTTATTGTACCTATAGCCAAAGTGCCCGCGCCCATACGTCCGGAAGAGTGTCGACCTATAAACCTTCTGCCAGTAGTTGACAAAATAATTGAAATTGTCATGAGGGATCAACTCAAAACTTTTTTTGAAAGAAACAAACTTTTATATGCAGGTCAATCGGGGTTTAGAGATGGACACTCTTGTGAGACGGCTATTCAGTTTGTTTGTTCACAATGGCGGAAAGAAATTAATGACGGCAATGTGGTTCTTAGCGTTTTCATTGATTTAAAGCGTGCATTTGAGACGATAAATCGTAGTTTGTTAATCAAAAAATTGAAATCATATGGAGTACGTGAAGCAGCTTTGAATCTGATCAGTAATTATTTAAGCAATCGTTACCATTTAACAAAATTGGGCAATATAAAATCTAATAAAATAGCCAGTGATTATGGTGTACCTCAGGGTAGCGTTTTGGGCCCATTGCTGTTCATAATTTACATTAATGACTTATACAGTGTATGTAAAAATTCTCTGGTCAATCTTTTTGCTGATGATACAGTAATATCTGTAGCTGGAAGTGATTTTAATGTGATATCTGACACCATGAATGTTGAGCTGGGCATTCTGTATGACTGGTTGTGTGCAAACAAGTTAAAACTCAATGCTAGTAAAACTAAATATATGTTATTTGGTTCTAAAACTAACTGTGCAAGATGCCTATCTAGTAATCTTGAAATTAGTATTAACAGGGAGCCTATAGAGTATGTGAAAGAGATTAAATATCTGGGCGTTATTTTGGACGCTCAATTGACCTTTGCCAGTCACGCAGAATACTTATGCAAAAAATTGGGGAAAAAGGTTGGTTTTTTTAGACGTATTTCTTTGGATTTGTCACAGTGGTCGAAAATGTTGATTTACAACACAATTGTGTACCCCCACTTCACCTATTGTATATCACTTCTGCTTGCATGTCCCAAGGAGCAAATATGTAGATTACAAATACTGCAAAATAAATGTACGAGAATAGTTTTGGGTTGCAACAGGTATACTGCCATAAGTAGAATGATGGAACAATTGAAGTGGCTATCAGTTGAGCAGGGTATTAGAAGGGCGAACATGTTATTTGTTTATAAGATTGTAAATAAAAAAGTTCCAGAATATTTGTGGAAAATGGTTGTCACCAGATTCGAAATTCACTCGCGAATGTTACGTTCAAAAACTGATTTAAATGTTCAGTTTGTTAATAGAAACTTTTTGCAAGGCTCACTATTTTCTGAAGGCATTCGCCTTTATAATGCCTTGCCCGACGAAATTAAGAATGTAAATACAATTGGTTTATTCAATAAACGTTTATGTGATTATTTGAGAGGCGAATAATTAACTTTAAATTAAATTAACTTATTATAAATTGTTATATTATATATTGTTATGTTTGTTTACTAGCTTTTGCTAAATAAAGATTTACTTACTTACTTAACTTGCGGTAAATCTAAAGTTGCGCCACTTCAAACCAAATCTATACCTCGCTTAGAGCTCCTTGGAGCTACCCTACTAGCCGATCTTTTGAATTTTGTCATCCGTACATATTCGCCACTTGTCACTATAGATGAAATATTCGCCTTCTCGGACTCACAAGTAGTTTTGGCATGGTTGGCATCGTCGCCGCATAGATGGAAAAGTTTCGTGGCAAACCGTGTGAGCCATATTCAGGAAACCATTCCGGATGTACCTTGGTTTCACGTTCAATCTTTGGACAACCCTGCTGATTGTGCTAGTCGTGGACTAACTCCTAAAGGTTTATTGGAACATTCCTTGTGGTTTCACGGTCCTCCGTGGGTAACCTTACCTCGTGCTCAGTGGAACCTTAGAGAGTTCAACAGCGAGCACATAGACCTGCAAACAGAAGCACGGGAAGAAGAGAAACCCACGGTCTTGTCGGTAGTAATAGGAAAGACTTACTTTGAAAAATTGATCAATAGGCACTCTTCCTTACCGAAAATTATTAAAATTCTTGTCCATTTTGTTCGGCTAGCCTACAATGTTCATCATAAATGTGACCGACTTTCTGGGTCATTTTCTGCCCTAGAACTTCACGATACCTTGCTAGTACTTGTTAAGAGGGTCCAAGAGCAATCGTTTTCGGATTTAATTATCCAAATTCAAACCAATAAACTGTTGCCTAAACCCTTTCGCAAGCTTGCCCTGTTTTTGGATGCTAGCGAGTTTGTCAGAGTGGGCGGAAGATTGCGAAATTCAGACATTTCCTTTGAAGCCAAACACCCTTTACTTCTGCCCCGTACTCATCGTCTCACCGATTTAATAATTGAACAAACTCATCAAGAAAATTTTCACCCCGGACTGACTACACTGCACTATTTATTACGCCAAAGGTTTTGGATCCTTTCAGCCCGTAGAGCTATCCAAAAGGTTCTATCAAAATGTATCAGGTGTTTTCGTTTAAAACCAAAGGCTTATACGCCCTATATGGGTGACCTCCCTTCCTTTAGAACCTCCCAGCTCAAGTGTTTTTCATATTCCGCGTTGGATTATGCAGGCCCTCTGAAGATAACCCTTGGTAAACATCGTGGAGCGAAAGTTTCCAAAGGTTACATTTGCCTTTTTGTATGTTGTGCCACTAAGGCCATTCACTTGGAACTTGTATCTGACCTCACTACCGAGGCATTTATCGCTGCTTTGAGACGCTTTATCGCTAGACGCGGAGTCTGTGTACAACTTTTGAGTGACTGTGGCTCCAACTTCGTAGGTGCGGTTGGTCAACTTGAGGAACTTTCAAAATTCGCTGCTAGCAGTCTAAAAATAAAATGGCACCTAAATAGTCCCGGTTCCCCACATTTTAACGGCCTTGCCGAAGCAGGCGTCAAGTCGGTCAAGACCCACTTAAAAAGGGTCATTGGTGATCAAGTGCTGACATATGAGGAATTGTATACCTTGTTGACTCAAATTGAAGCCTTGCTAAACTCGAGACCTATCAGCGAACTGAGTTCCGACCCTAATGATTTGCAACCATTAACGCCCGGTCATTTCTTGACGCTGGAGCCCCTCAATTCCTGTCCAGATCCCGATTTATCGCATTTAAAGTTAAATAGACTTAACCGTTGGCAATTAGTGCAACGCCTTAATTCCGATTTCTGGAAAAGATGGCAAGCCGAGTATTTGCATACTTTACAGCAACGCTCAAAGTGGACCACTCCCTTTGCAGAGGTGAAACTCAATACTTTAGTTTTAATAAAGGATGTATCTAGGTCCCCTCTACATTGGTCTTTGGGCCGCATAATCGCATTGCATCCAGGCAAAGATGGCCATGTAAGAAATGTTTATGATTAAAACGTTGGGAAATTTATTCTGGAGAGCCGCGGACTGTAAACGCGTCGAAATTTGATCGCGGAACCATACAAAGGCAATATTAGATAAGGCACCTACCTTGGAGTTGCACAGGGTTGTGCTATGCGCTGGTGTTGGCGCCTCACAGGAGCTCCTGTTTCATAAACAACGTAATCCCACTGGTCACTTCGAAAACGGGTAGATAATTGAGTTTCTAATGAATATTTTTGGAGAGTTTTTGATTCAAAATATGTAGTCTTGGCTACGGACACGCGACCTCGCACTACTCGAACTCGACTGCTTCGAAGGTCGTAGCGTATATATGGTGCCGAATGGTTTGAAATTGTATGGTTTTTTTTAATGTCAATATCGAATTTTAAATATACAAACAAATTCCCCTTTTCCCAAACATTTGAATAACAAAAGAATAAATTTCCCAACGTTTTAATCATAAACATTTGTCGTGACCGGTTTCATTTGTACTCCTTCGCATTGGACTTGAACTTCCTGAAAGAGCTGGCCAGCTGAATGGAGTTTGGAAGTAAAGCCAGCTAAGGTGAAAAAAATATCCTTTTCAGTTTTGATATTCTTCAATTTCAATTTAAAATCTTTCATCGATTATCGTGGATTATCCAGTTTCAATTTCGCACAGAGACGTTTTTTCATAATTCATCAGCAGAATGAGTTTTCATCCATGAGCGTACCAAAATTGAATAAAATATGCAAATAAAATTAAATAATAAATAAATTAAAACACAGTTTTTTTTGGGTACAAATTGATGCATTTTATTTACAAAAATCAAGGCAATATTTTTTTTTGTTTGTTTTGTTTCAATATACACAAATACAATAGGAAAAACACTCAAGTATTTTTACATATTTTTTTTTTAAATACAATTTTTGTTCAAAAATCAACATTAAAACAATAGTAGGTTTGTTTTTGCAAAAATCAAAAAACCAGTCAGATTGAATTTTATTGGTTTTCAACCAATGAAATTTGCTCTGACTGCTTTTTGATTTAAACAGACCTAATAATAATAAAAATTACTCTTCTGATGAAACAGAAAGAAAATAATTGTTAATATAATAATTATTATTACAAATATTTAGTCCCTTGTTGTCATAATTAAATGCTAGAATAAAAGAGACTAAAAAAAAAAAATTATTGCTGCGTTAAAAATATTTATAATAAAATAAAAATCCAATATAGAATAAATTATTCACACAATTTTCTTGGTACATACAAAATAAGAAGAAATATATTAATTTTTTTTTTTTTTATAATAATTAAAGAATACAATAATATTACTAAAAAATAAACTATACACTTTTTTAAATAATAAAAAAAAAAAATACAATAGTTGTTTTAGGGCTAAAAATACAAAAAAAAAAAAATTGTTATTGAGTGGCGGACAATTATTTATAAATAAACTATATATTTTTTGTACTAAATATAGGTTTTTGAAACCTAAATTACATACTGTACAATAATTAAGTGATGTTTTTTTTTTTTTTTGATAATAATAATAATAACACGACCTTGCAAATCAATATTCAATAGCCAAAATTATATGGCACTGGATTTTTAGTTGTTAAGGCCCAGGTTTATTTATCTATCTGAAAGTTAAATTTATCATTTTGTCAGATTGATAGTTTTATCAGAAGGTGAATAAACCGACCCTAAATATCTGATAAATTTTAAAATGGGAAAATTCCTACAGTATTATAAAAAGTTGACAAAAGTAGCTTTGAGATATAAGATTTAAGGCCACAATTTTATTTTATCATTTTTGTGTTTCTAATTTTTTTTTTTTTTAAATGCCAACTCAACTTACGAGCTTATTCATCTTTTTTTTCTCTCTCTCTCCTTTATTACACAGGGTGTGTCAAATTCGCAAGTAAGTATAGGGCAAAATTTGGTTCTGATTTGATTTGGAACCGATTCTGGTTGAACCTAGAGCAAAGAACTGTATATGGAACTAATTTTGGGTGCTCCGTATCAGCTTAATGGAAATGATTGGGTTTACACTGGCATATTTGGATGAAAATCCATAAATCTTAAATTAAGAAAAAATGACCCAAAGACAAAACATAGGATTTCAAATAAAAGAAAAAAACTAACAATAATAGAGTGTCATTTATTTTGAAGTAGGTACTTTAACACACCCTGTATTTTTTATTATAATTATCAAAATTCCCATATTTACTCATAAATTTGTAACACCCTGTAGAAAAAAAAAAATAAAAAAACAAAAATAATTCTTTGTTCGGATATTGGTAAACAAAATACAAAAAAAATGCCTCTGAAAAATTTCATACCAAAATGTTTTTCAAAGTAATTTTATGAAAATTTGACAACATTGTAGCTAGTAGACTAAAGGCATTTATCCGTATTTTTTTTTTTTTCTAATTTAATTGCACAATTTTTTCTGACAGATGACATTTAAACCATTATTTATCTGTCAACTGTCAGAAAAAATAATACAAACAATGTTGCCAACTATGTCAAGAAATAAGTGCAGTCAAGTAGTGTGTATAAAAATCACTGGCAATGAGCAATTTATGTTGATTCATTGTCTAATTTATCTCTATTGAATTTTTTTTTTTTTTTGGTCGGTTACCTAAAGCTCAAATAAAATTTGTAAAAAAAATAAAAACAAAAATGGCAAAATACGCCACCGATAAAATAATAATTATTAAAAATCTTGCCTGGTGCAAACTGCTACGTATTGTTGCCGGCTAAAATTTGTTGTTGCGGTACCACTGTTGTAGTGGTGGGGGTGGGTCCATTTAGTTGTGGTACGCTGCTGTTGTTGTAGGGCCGATTCGAATTACATAGAACCGTGTAAACGTTGTCCATTTTACTCAGTTTTTCGAAAAACGGTATTAAATCTAACAATTCGTTATCGTTCATGTCGTCAAACCACGAAGCTACTGGCACCTAATAAAAAAATAAATATGTACATAATTGAACAACAAAAAAAATCATGTGACGTCATCAGAAGTCCTTTTAATTACTTACTGCATTATCTGGATGGAATATATAGGAAGCAGGCGAATTATCAACAATAACAATCTGCTGTAAATCCCTGCCTAATTTGTTTAAATCTTTGACGTAATTTCCTCGATAGTAAACGCAACTTTCCCGGAATAATCTCGCTCTGAAGACGGCCCATTGGTCCAGTAAATCGGCTACAGGATCGGCGTATTTTGCAAGAGAAGCGGTGAAAAGGACACACTCATAGAGTTCGCCCATTCTTTTCAGGAACTCGTCAACGTGTGGTCGTTTTAGGACGTAGACTTGATGTACGGTGCCGTCAATTTCGACTGGGACTATGAAGTCGGCGTTGTTTATAGGCTGGGAGAGAAAAAAAATTGGTTTTTGTCAAGGTATCATATTGGGTATAATTATGTGATAAATCTAAATAAACAAACTGTAATTTTTCATGAAAAAAATGATTATAAATAAATTATTTCAAAATTTCAGTATGTTGAACACCTGATTTTCCTTTTTTTACCCCAAAAATGTCATTATTTCTTTACTAATTTTTGTAAAATATATTATTTGGTTTTCAAGATTTGCTCATGTTGCCATTTTTCATCGAATTAATTTGAAATTTAAGTTGATGACCTCCGTTTCTTCCATCAGTTTTTTGAAAACTCAAATCAAAATTGTGGAAGGGTGCATTTTTCTTTATTTGGTTTTTTAAAGTTGGATTTCAATCCAGTTCCAAATCTCAGAATAATTTAGTGTATGAAATTTGCGGGTCCCCAATGACCATTTAGTAGATACAAAATCTCAACATGAAAAAAAAAAATTGAAATTTCATTATTTTAGTACTACTTTATAATTTAAATTTTTGTAAATTTTAAAAAATCATACCTTTTTTTGTATTAAAGATAGAAAGTTCAAATTTTCAGCGATTCTTATCCCCGTAGAGGACTACAATCCCTGAAAATTTCAGCTCATTTGGATTTATAATTCCAGGAATAAAATTGTGTTAATAACAATTATACAGTGTTGTCAACAACTCCTCAATTTCTGGCTAGATATAAAAATAGCAATCTACTACAACTAGTGATGTGAGTCGAGAATATTTCCATGCGAATATTTGCGAACATAACGCTGATCCGATTTACCGGATCACCAGCTGATGTACCTACAGTTTGTCTTTTTTTAAAATAATCTTTATTGAAGAAAGATAAAAAATACAGAGCTGAGAGATTGTGTTAATTGGATGAGCTTTTCCTTTAAAGCCTTATTCAACTGTCCATAAAAGTGTTTTTACTACATAGTTTAATTTTTAGCTGATCTTACAGTAAAAAAATGGTGTTTTTCTTGGTCTATAGTCTATAATCAGTACACCATGATAATAGGTGAATAAAGCTTACTACGATTTGTCTGATTTTAGCTATAAATTAAAAAAAAAAAACAATATTTCCATAAGTTCCCAAAAGTTTCCAATATTCCCGGAAAGTTTCCAAGAATGTTTGCGGCTTTTGAATGTTTTGGGAATTTTACATCACTAACTATTTAATTTTTATTAAAATTGAAGAATTTTGTTTGGTGAAAAAAATATTTCAAAAGCAATAAATCAAATCAAAATAGCTTTATTGATATAAGAAAAATCAATCTCATTACTAAAGCAACTTAAAACTAGCAAAAAAATTTAAATACACGATTTTAAATTAAAAATTCTTAAATTGAACAAAACATATTGAAATAAACAAGATAAGAAGTACAGTACAGACAAGTTAACTACTTACACATGTACCACCATAAAATATCATGTAATAAAATGACGAAAACAATAAATAAAATTTAAGACGAAAAATGTATCAAAATTAAAAAATAAACAAAGACTTAAAAACAATAATAAAACAGCTACAAGATAAGTGAACCAGTAGACAGTCTAAAATTGGTCCTCAAAATATTCAGTCACACTATAGTATAGGCTTTCTTTAATAATAGCTCCTTTACAGCCAATTTAAATCTTTTTAGGGATTCTAGGGATCTTAAGCTAATAGGCAAATGGTTATACATTTTTTTACCAGTGTAAAACAAAGAATTCCTCACAAGTGCAGTATGAGGTGTAGGTAGAGGTATAGTGCCTATTTGACGCGTATTATAATGAGACGCGCTCGTCTCTCTTCCGAACTTCCTAAACATTAAACAGACAGTCTCCAAAATAAATATACCTGCCAGGGTCAGAATGTTATTTTGAATAAACAAGGGTTTACAAGATTCCCTAGCCCCAACCCTGCACATATACCTGACAGCCCTTTTCTGCAGAACAAAAACAGAATTTATCAGGAAATGGCTCGAATTACCCTAGAAGCAGATTCCATATCTTAAATGGGACTCAATAAGTGCGAAGTAAACCGATTTTGTCATACCTAAATTTAGTTCCCTTGATACAACCCTTACCGCAAAGCACCCCGAGGCCAATTTGTTACACAGGTTCATTATGTGGTTCCTGAAAGACAACCTATTATCTATATTTATACCCAAGAATTTTGCATTCAAGTTGTTAGAGATTAGGCTACTGCCGAGGTTTATATCACCTATATGACAATTAAAGTTTAAAATATTAGTTTTCGAGACATTGAAAGTAAGGTGGTTTGCATCACACCAGTCCTTCACCCCATTGATATCATCTGCCACCATTTTGGCCAATTCCTCAGAACTCTTGCTGTGCCACAATATTGTGGTATCATCAGCGAACACTGTAAATTTACCTCTGATGTTAAGGGAGGTTATATCATTGATATAAATCAGAAACAAAATGGGTCCCAAAACTGAACCCTGAGGCACTCCCGCTTCTATACCGCACTTGTCCGAATTTGCACCATGTAGCCTAACATGCTGGTTCCTGCCCGAAAGATAAGACCCAAACCAACTCAACGAAGTACCCCTGAAACCATACCGTCCAAGCTTCTGCAACAGTATTCCATGATCCACACAGTCAAAGGCTTTTGATAGATCACAAAAGACTGCCGCAGCCGCCTCTTTCTCGTTAAGCTGGAAGTACAGATCCTCAAGAAATGCAAAAACTGCATCACCAGTGCCCACACCACTCTGAAACCCAAACTGAGCCAAACTCAACAGTTTATTCTTATGTAGGAAAGACACAACTCTGTTTTTAACTAGCCTTTCGATAACCTTACCAATTGTGGGTAACAATGAGATGGGTCTGAAATTGGAGGGCTCAGAAATATCCCCACCCTTATAAATTGGTATCACAACCGCTTCCTTCAATGAACTCGGGAAAAAACCGAGAAAAAAAGAATGGTTTATGGCATCAACCAAAGCATCAAGTGCAGACCTTGGCAACCCCTGCAGGAGTTTGATAGAGATGCCATCATATCCAGCTGCATACTTACTCTTAATATCCTTAAAGGTCTGCTCAATTTCCCTCAAGTCCGTAGGTGCTAGAAAAAAAGACTGAACAACACTAACATTTTGTAGAAAGTCCAATGGATTGCACCGAGGAACAATACCACTTGCAAGCTTCCGAGCAATGGAGCAGTAAAATTTATTCAACTCATTAGGCGTTACGTCAGTCCGGGCCTCAATCCTACTATGCTTTCCTCTTAGTTGATTAACAATTTTCCAACTCTCTCTTTGCCCATTCTGAGAATTGACTATGCGATTTTCAAAATAAGTTCTTTTGGCTAGTTTCAACGTTTTACGATAAAGTGACCTATATCTATTAAAATATGACACAAAAAAACCACAGTCCATAAAATATTTACGTATATAATGTAAAGCCCGAAGATTCCTGCCAGACCTTCTTATTCCCCCAGTAATCCATGGTTTATGCCTCCTGTTTCTAATCCTCACAACCGGAAATGAACGTTCAAAGACATCAGTCAACAAGACATGGAACCTGCTCAAGGGATCCTCAGTACGAAAAGTACCCAACCAGTCCACAGTCAGGCAGCATTGGTAAAACTTATTAAAATTTCTCCCTGAAAAGATCCTACCTTGCTCCTCCGACCGCGGAGCTTTCCGGCCACAAACTGGTAAGCTACAAAGCACAGCCTCGTGATCAGAGAGGCCCGCGCTCACCACATTACAGAAGACATCATCATCCAAACTGGTACAAACATAATCCAAAACAGAAGCAGAATCATTTGTGATTCTAGTTGGCGAATTAACATGCATCTTAAGATTAAATGATTTTAACAAATGCTTCAATGCCAGAGTACATGAAGAATCTTCACTGTCATAGTCAATGTTCAAATCCCCCGTCAAGACAACACTAAATTGAGGACAGAGATTCGACAAAAGAAACTCCAACCTCTCCAAAAATACACTCCCACTACATTGGGGCGGACGATATACAGAAACTAAAAACATATTCAATTTTTTACACTTACAAACAGACAATTCAAACTCTTTCTCAACAATCAAATCTTGAAACCTTAGGCTATTCTCAAATTCAAATTTCTTAGAAAAGTTTTTGTTTATTAAAATTAAGGTACCCCCATGAATAGAGTTCTTTCTACAATACACTGATACTAAACTATAATCTGGTATAGAAATAGGTTCCCCATCTTTGAGCCAATGCTCCGTTATTACTACAAAATCCGGAAAATTACAGCTCTCTAAAAACACCCAAAATTCATCAATTTTATTGTGAATCGATTGTATATTTAATAATAAGAGGGATATGCTATGAAAATGATCGTCTAGCCTAAAAAAGTACTTTTATTGATAGCCGTTGTGGCGAATATATCCTCAGCGATCAGATTATTTACACTTTCCCCCTTCCCGTTTTTGGCGGTAGGAACCTGTGATAAATTGAGTATACCTTCGTCATTGTTATTAGAGGCGTCAAGAAATATAGGACTAACCTGGACACCACCATCTACATTCTGCACCTGTTCCAGAGGATCCGACCAACGTAGGGATTCAAGATTTATTTGCCCATTATCAGACAAGATCACATTCCCACTGGCCACAGACACATTAACTATATTGAAGTGTAACGACTTAGTTACGTAGTTAACCAATAGTTTGCCAAAAGTAGAGCCATTGTGTCTGTGACCACGTCCTATCCTAAAGTTATCTATCACTCTAATTGAGACATTATTTCTAGTGGTAAAGTCACCAAGATGAGCATATATTCTTCTGTACATGGGGCTATTAAAAACACAATCATTATATGTAAAACACATTATTAAATTAGTGTATCGACCAATTGAAAAAAACTGCTTCAACAGTGAGGTGTTGTGAATTGAATTTACGTTAATGTGTAAGAATACAACAACCGAATCATTATGATTGTAATCACGTGTTAAGTTAAATATGTCCCTAGCAATTTCTTTCAATGGTGCATTCGTTTTGATGAG